TTCAAACAATCTGTGCTGCAGATTACACGGCCCCCAGTAAACCCAAAAAATAAATAAATAAATAAATAAATAAAAAAACAAAAAACATTTTTCAAAAACTTGGTTTCCTCTCTCCTTTCAAAGTTTATTTCAAACTGAAAGTCAAGGATTATTGTACTAGATACTCCTAATTGCAATAACGTTTTTATAGAAAAAAAAAACAAAAAGCAAAAAAGCCAAATAGGAATAAATTAGCCATGTGATTTACATTTACGTATTTTAATTCAGTATTTAACAACTATTTAAGAATTCATTCACAATAGCAAGAGATGATTCTGTAATTCCGCGCTGTAAGATAGACAGGCGCCATAGTCATTTTAGACCCAATATTCTCCATCAAAAGAAGTCGCACAATTCGAGAAAGAAAAAGGTAAATTGACGCGAGCAATGTTATGTCTCAGTTGTCCGCGCACGTTCAGTTGCCAATCTATTATGTCCTGACAAACGAAGCTTGGTTTGTGGCTCAGGTGAGGAACTGGCGGAGGACCCCCTCACCCTCTCCACAATGAAAAGTCCTGCCTACGCCCCTGATTTGTTGCTTGAAAATTGTGATCAGATTGTGTTGTGCACTGCAAACAATACGCAGCCTGGCTTTTCTATTTAGCACTAATGTAAAACACGCGTTGAGTTCCTGGAATTTACCCCAGGCTATATTTATTGAAAAAAAATGAAGCCATTATTTCTTTGGTAGTTATCCGATATGCTTTGTAATTCGAGCACGTTTGAAATTCGGTAGATGATTCAGCCTTGAATTGCATGAGAATGACAGTAAGAAACTGATGCAAATGATTTCTCTCATATTACGTGATTAATATTCAGCTGTAAGCGTGTGTGTTGTGAATGTTGCTAGCTATGATAATTACATGCTAATTAATTCCTATTTAACTTTTTGCTTTTTGCTTTTTTCTATGACAACCTTATTGCAATTAGGTGTATGCCAAGTCATATCGTCCACATACCTGCAGAACAAACATAAAAAAAATTTACAATCTTATACCAAGGACCGAAATTTTAGAACTCTTTACCTCACTCAATAATTAGATCAAACAACATAAGAACCTTTAGAGTTATTTTACTTGACTCGTGAAATAGGTAGTACAATACTGAGCACTCTTATGCACTAATTGCATTGTCTTCTTTTGTTTTTCTGTTGCTATTGTTCACTAGTTGTAACTATCTCTTTCACAGGTCAAGTAAAATCACTGTAAACGTTTACTTACCGGTAATCAAATTTAATAAGTTTACAGAATACACAATATATCGTCTGTAATTTATTACTAGTTATCAGACTGACAATTAACTTTTTCTTTGTATTTTCTATACACTTGTAAACTACTTTAATATTATATGTTGTTCTTTATTTATATGAGTATATAAGTCATTAATAAAAAAACAATGTAAAGAGGAAGTCTCACCTATATGTGTTCATGGCTTCTAAAGATTATTTTTAGTTGCATGTATTTTTCACGTAATGTAATGTTTTTTCCTTTCATTTATGTGTAAAAAAGCATTAAATATCAATAAATCAATTGAATGAGGTTTGCAAGTAATATGTGTAATTTCTGTAATTCTTTTAGTTGTTATTGCACTTGCTATTTTCTTCTTTTTCATTTCATCATATTCCGATATTTTTTTTGGAAAAGCGCTGCCCAGCTTGTGATGAAGATTGCCCTGTAGCTGTGAAGAAGTGCAGGAACAGGGAATGTGACTATACGTTTTAAAAGAAAAAGAAGGACTGGGAGAGGGTGAAGAAGCGAGGAGTGATTTCCCCCACACACGGGAGGGAGAAACTTGAATACAGAGTAGGTATTTACATTGTAGAGATACACTAAAAACCAGCAAGTAATAACCTGTATTTTCCCAATTACGTTAGCCAAAAAAGGTTCTTACATAAAAGGTAATGAGCACTTACATTGTAGGTTGTTAAAAAGGTTCTCATTTTCTGAAGGAAAAAAAAATACATTTTAGCTGAGAGTATGTGGTGGTATTTAAACTTATTCCTTATACAAAATCTATGTACCCTTACATTGCAATAACATTTCAGTGATAAGACACCTATTTTTTTTTCAAAGAGGATCCTGAATGCTTACTTCTCTTCTTTAGCCAAGGTTACAAAATGCTTTATAGATTTTAGAAAATAAGAGGCCTGCGAATACAGCCATTTCTCCTAGTTCGAATTGTCACCGGGGATGTTTCCCTAGGAGAAATGTCTATGACACACGAGAAGCACCCATATTATTTACATAGTTGTTGTTTTTGTAAACAAAAACCCTCTGTGAAGTAAGCCAAAATATACTAGTGGCAAGAACAAAATAAAATTATTGTTGTGGCCCCAGTTAGTGCCAAGAGGCACTACAACAATTAGACACTTTTATAAAGGCTATGTATGTATGCATGTGTGCTCTTCAATTAGATGAATTGAGCGCTCTATGAAATACAGTCTACCCAGAATATAAGTATGTTTGTATGTATGAATGTTTGCTTTTATCAATCATTGGTATTTTCAGTTATCACTTAGGTTTGCATTTTTTGTTCATTATTGGTAGTAATTGATATAAAAACTTTATTATTAATATAAACTTTGCATTATAGGCTGATTGTTTGCATGAGGGCTGCGATTATGATGTAGTAGTTTTATACCACTGCAAACATGCCGAGGGAAATTCAATTTTCCCTTATGCCACACCGGGGAAAGCTTTTGAATTTCTTGGGGATGGCTCCAAAGAGCACCCACCATCTGATGAGGGCCGTTTCTTTCTCCAAATGTTTTCGCAGTTTTTCCTAGGTATGCTTCATTCTCTTTATAAGTGTACTTATTGACAAGATTAGCTTGAGTGCGTGTGCCTTGAAGGTAAATAGCAGTTATCTGCAAAGATCAGCAAAGCAAAGCATAGCTTAGATATGCAATCACATGCCAGCCTGTGCAGACGGAGCAGCCACCCTGCACAAACCTGTCTACCTGGGGCTCAACCAGTGACCCGCAAGCATTGTCTTGAGGTTACCCTTTCCTAAATTTAGCCACATAAAATTAAATACTAAATTAATGACAATTAGTTATTATATTCTGGCTGACTTTTCATTCAAGTTCTTTTCTTTATATATGTAAAGGACATCCCCATGGTATGCCAAAGTGGACACATAAAAAAAAAGGTATTAAAGTTTTGCTGTTAGTTAATATTACTGTTTTTATTTCGAACTCTGTCTTCTAGTATTTTCATGAAATTTGCAAATGACTCACACAAGGGACTCTGAGATGATCATTAGCTGACCTTGTTCAGCCCTAGCTACCCCTTTTCGGTTCTGGATATTTCCATTCCTTTCAGCTCTTTTTTTTTTTCATGAAAGATGAGCAAAAAGGGTATAATGTTAAATGTATATTTCAATGAACATTGAGATAGAGAAGTCAGACAAGAGAAGTCAGACAAGGAAATGGCAGTGAAGAAAGAGGAATTACAGATAAAGAAGAAATTACAGGAAGAACAACTAATGGAACAGAGAAGTATGAGACAGCAGCAGGCTCACATGGTCGAGGCTTTTAGCGCCATGCAGCAATCAATGCAGAGGCAGCTGCAACAGCAAACTGAGCTGCAGCAACAACAGCAACAACAAAACAGTCAATTAATAATGATGATGATGCAAATGATACAAAATATGAAAAACAACTAGAACATTTATTTCACTAGTTTTTTACGGGAGGAGGTGAATAAATTGTTGTGTGGAACTCAAGCAAGTCAGCTGTTTCTGCTTACGTTTTTTATGTTTGAGGTATGGTTATAATTGGCTACGCTCCAGCCCCATACCCAATTTGCTTTGTCAATGTCACTGGTAACACCAAAGTGACAGTTACATGTCTCGTTTCTTCCTATCTTTATTATAAATTTTTTAACAATAAATGTTTGTTAGTTACAGACTTGAAGTGTAATGTTACCTTGACGGCTTTTTTCAACAGTACCCACTCCCCTTTATGAGCTATAGAGTTGTGTCACCCAAATTAGATTAAAGTTTGAGGCCGGCCTGAAACTAGACATACGGTCAGGAATCTTTGATAGTTAACCTTAAACATGGCAGGTCTGAAATTTGGTGGGAAAATGCACTTCTTTTGGCCTTAATGGCCACCTCACACCCACCAACCCGTAAACAAGACAAAAAATTCCGCACACTTTACTTCTGGTGCTTAAAATAAGACACTAGCATAACGTTCAAATGGCGTACACGCAATGAGAACCACCTTCAGTTTCTGTGAGGTTACTTTTGTAAGCTGCACTGACTAAAAGCAACATAGTTCAAAGTGTTTTTATGTTTAGCCAATGTCACTGAAAATAAACTTCCAGTGGTGGTGGGTCCAATCCAAAATAGGACGATGTTACGGACTGGTAAAGACAAGTGCGGGCATTTGTCAGCAAGCCGCACACGATGTACATTTTACCAACTGCGCTTAAACGAATTTTCAAATTCTTTTTAAAATCCATAAAAGCGAAGTAGTTGATAATGTCCCCAAAAACTCACTCCACTGATGCTCTAACACGACTCATTGCAGTGTTGTACTCATTCTGTAAAGGGGTGATCCTGACTCCTTTGAATGGTCCTTGGAGGTGTATGTTAAGGGGGTAAGCCGGATCCCCATAAACACACAAAGGTTGTCCAAGAGGAGAGAACGAGTGACGTTGCAAGTCGGCAAGTAAACCTGACTCTGCCAGCATGCCGCTGTCATGTCGTCTTCCCTCGACTGGGCCAAAGAGGTTAGCTATCAAACCATTTGGGGCCACAATTGACTGAAATTTTATTGCATGGACCCTCTTGTGCCCGTTGTACAGAACTCTTTGATTTTTCCCAGGCCTAGAAACTGGCCTGACTGTTCCATCGATAAAACCCCAGCAATTAGGAAGTGGAGCCCCGGTAGCATGAATTACATCGGCATAATTCTGAAGACTGGCCTGAGATAGCCATGGCTGGTTAAAACTTCATAAACGGTGGTTGTGTGTTTGATAAATGAAATCCATCACTTGGCTGGATATCATACAAAGTTGAGGGACAGGTCTTGCAAACCTTGGCAGCATATCTGAATATCTACAAGGATATGCAAATCGCTTAAGAAATATACAAAGAGCTTCGATCCCATCGACAACAAGACGATTATAGCATTTTATTTGATCCGGAATCTCCAACACTTCAGCAAGAAGGTATTCGTCTCTCTTGTAGAATCTGAATTCTGACTTGCATTCATCGTCACTTAAAAGATCAAGGTCAAACTGGTCATAACTCCAATACGGTAGCTCAAGGTTGCTTGACTTGTTTAAAACATATAACAGCAAACATTCTTCTTCGCTTATCAAATTATCGCTGTGAGCAAACAGCAACATATCTCTAATTTCTCTTAAAGAGGGCATAGCGTATAAAGTTATCACTGATTATTAATCCAGGTTTTAAAATGAACAATTTGACAAATAAAACGTAACAGGCCGATAAACAAAGACAACTCTAGACCGAGAATTGTGTTTTGTATTTCGCGCCAAAAGTACGGAACGCCGTCCTGAAAACCATTGTTGCGTAACGTAACTTGACAGTCGACAGAACAAGGTTGTCGTCCCAGTTTCTTTCGGTCGCGAACGCCGTCGTCAGACACTCCCGTCGTCACTGTGTAAAGTCCCTAATGACATCGGCTCAGCCAGCTTCACAAACTGAAGGTATTTACACCTTTTAACATATTCCTTTTGGAGCCATATGTAGGGACTGTATGTCAACACAAGTTTGGTGTCATGTTTTAAGGCAATATAGTTTCAGATGAAGGAACCTTTCTGTTTCTTTCTTTTTTTTTCTTGTGAAATGCAAGGTAAAAACGCCCAGTCGTCCGCGTCAGAAATTATTTCAACTATATGACATATTGTAGACAAATTCGGTACGACATGTCAAGCCAAACAAACAAACGGAAGGTATATATTCCTTTTGGAGCCATGTGTAGGGACAGTATGTCAACACAAGTTTGCTATCATGTTTTAAGCTATTACAGTTAGAGATGGAGGAACCTTTTTCTTCATTTTTCTCCTTTTGAAATGCAGCTAAAAACGCCCAGTCGTCCGCGTCAACGACATCTGCTCTGCCAGCCTCACAATCGGAAGGTATTTACACCATATCACATATTCCTTAATTTTGGAGCCATGTGGAGGGACTGTATGTCAACACAAGTTTGGTATCATGTTTTAGGCCAATACACTATTACAACATGAAAGGCAGATCAATATGCCCAGCCATGAATTCCTTGTCCATCGGCAGAGCTAGCCACATATTCAGCAGTAAAATAAACGTGTCCAAATATCATGGGCACCTTTTTTAACACAAATTGAATCAATGGATTATATTTTTGTTATAAATAATAAGCTTCTCCTTTTTCTTCTTTTCGGGTGCTGTTGACTGTCAAAAGGTCCAACCGTTGTCATCTACAGGCAAGACGATCTCAATGTTGCTGTTGGCTACTTACACTCTGGGCGCCGAATGCTTCATGGGAAGCAAGTGCCCTCGGGCTATGATGTCGTAAAGCTGACTTGGGTTCGGGAAGGGGAGGTGCTTGCACCTGTTCTTTTGGGAGATGTGGAAGAGAATACAGTCTTGGCCTCAGGTCGTTTTTTTGCTCTTCCAAGATCCCATCTTGCGAAAGTAAAACTGGCCCCTTTACCCTTTCAGTCCTAACATTTGCTAACATGCTCTTTGTCCTTACCCTGCGCGTACTAGTGAAATTCGGAAAGTATTTTCCTTTAAAGAAGACTTGACTTGACCTTAATGGATGGTGCAGAGGGTAGGAAACGAGAACGTGAATGTTAGGCCTGAAAGGATATTGGTATTGTCCACTGTAGAAAGCTTAGCGCTATTTCCTTTTTCCTGTACGCTTCCTTTATACACTATCACTTTGCTAATGCATTTGGACCACACCTTTCTTGTTGTTGTTATTATTACTAGTATTTTGAAAAAGGAAAGGTTGTTGTAAAGGTTACCTTTAAGCGTTATTTTGGTAGCAATGTCCTTCCTGTCTAAACAGACTGGTACCTCGGTAAGCTCAGAAGTAAAAACCAGCTACTAAAAACCTGCATTTTCCCAAGTTATCCTAGCAGAAATAGAACTGCGAAGGAATAAGGACGATTGTGGGTTCCATTCCTGATGGGGGCTCGGTTTGTTTTCCTGAGCATTTCTTAGTTCTCTGTAGTGTCCATTTCAATTACCTCACACTTGGGAGGTTGGTTCGCCTAAACAGGTTCTTACATAAACGATAATAAGCACAAATTTAGCCGGGGTATGTAGGTTCTTAAACAGGTTCTTATTTTCTGGAGAAAATAATTAATTGAAGCTGAGAGGATTTAGTGGTATATTCATTTTTTCCTATATTAAATCTGCAAACCACTCATAGAATGTAGTTGGGGTGATAGTCCTAAGAGGATTCTGATAGTTGACTTAATATCTAGATTTTAGAAAAAAAGGCACTTTTTTCCAACTTTTGGCGAAACAGGTTTTTGTGTAGAGGATGCCTAACTGGCACATTTTAGTGTACATGTTCTGTAACTGTGGTAAGTTGAATACATACTAACAAAGTGCGAGCAGAATTAGATGATGTAAGCTGTCACCTCAAAATTGAGTGTTAGTGACATTATTAATTTGGAAATACGCCTTGCTGTACCTTATAGTATTACATGACGTGGGCGAGTTCATTCATTTACATTTAATATATCTCATTGAAGACAAACACTTGGTATGAAAACATCCGAATTGTCTTTTTAACTGTATAATAACAAAATGGTAAGCAAAGCCTCGCAGTGATCTTTTTTAAACTTTAGTATAGAAATGGAGTTCGCTCGTTGCAGAAGCTCTCACCTGCAACTGTAGTACATCACGTAACGCCAAATTGGAAATAAAAAACTGTTAAAGTTATGAATACATGAAAATCATATGTGTGAACTGCGGCGCGAAGAATTACATGAAAGTGGATCATCGCAGTGAAAGACGCAAGTTTTGAAGTTGCGAAAAGAAAGCCCGAAAAAAATTCAGCCTTGTACGGGATTCAAACCCTCGACCTCTGCGATAGCGGTGCAGTGCTGTTACCAACTGAACTAACAAGCCAACTGGGAGCAGGTCGTTGAATCGGTTGCGTCCATACCGTTGAAAAAGAGGCAGAATTGTTGATAGAGCTCATTCCCTTGCGTTTTCGTCTGTCCCCCTACGTGAGAGCCGCTCTATATTAAATAACCGCCACTGGGCTGCCCTTCAACTGGTATTGCAATGACTTCGGTGGATTATTACCTCTTCCCCGCTTGCACACCATGCACCATCGTAACCATTTAGTGGTCTTTTGGACATCCATTCTCCTTCCTTGTACGTTGCTGGAAAAATGCCCACCTACTCCTCCCCTGAGCCAACACTAAAGGCCCATTGCCTCATTTGATGCAACGCGGCCGGTCGTTTTCCTTTTGATATCGCGCTTTTGTAATTGGCGCGCTCCGATTGGTTAACACTTTTGTGTGACTTTCTCGCAAAAAGAAAAACGGAGCTAGTCAGCTGAGGCCGCACAACCCAGCGTTGTGTGTCTCCTCACCTGACAAATGGTTGCACTGTTCCCTTAAAGTCAATCAGTAAATACGTATTATTTCTTCTGGAAGTGGTCGAGTCTATTAGCATTTAACCTGAAAGAAACGTGCTCAGCTTCGAGATATGCCGAGGCTAGGTGGACAAATATACACGTGCATTCAGGTCTACAGATCTGTGCCGTGGCAATAGCTCAGTTCCATTGTTTTCCTGTTAATGGTGAAGGAAGGTGATGGTATTTTGAACAGCCAAAGTTTATTAACACTGCGATTGTATCTCCACGGCTACCAAAAGCATTGGATATTTGGCAGAAGGGGAGGAGTGGTTTCTCTTCTCAAGGGCGGGTCTAGAAGGGGTGCACACCCCTTACCCCCTCAAGATGACCTGCGGATTTCTAATACAACCGCTAATCTGTAAAATATGCGGACATGTATGATATGTTTTATCAGCAGTGCACATTATGTTGTTGCCTCGTCAAAAGCCTTGTTCCTATTCGCTTTTAACATTTGTTCAAGTCACAAGGCATATACGTCAGTCCTTAGTACTATATTGTGGTGCACCCCCTCCTAAGAAAAATCCTGGATCCACCCCCTGCTTCTCTATGTTTATCTACAGACAGCATTTCTAAGGCTATCACGGTTGCTAGGAGGGGACTGTTTGGCTCGGGAAAAAAAAGGAAAAGAAATGGCGCCGATTCGGATATCTGCACAATTCTAAGCCATATTCGATCGCAGCTTTGTTATACCTTTCTCCAACAACTTTGTGTTATTGAAGGTAGGCAATTGTGAGGGTTGACAAAACATTAATTTTGTCATGAAAACCTCATACGCGGACAGCCAACAAGATTAGAATATTTCATGGGACTAAAAACGAAAACGATTCTCAAGCATTGACTGACAAACTCTGTCGTACTTTTCTAAAACTAACTAACAAGACCGGTAGACGTTAGGGTAAGTGCCTTCATGGACAAAGCCACTAACCTTCGTCGAATAACTGCTAGTGGTGAACCACAAGTAATTGTGGAGGGTAAGATCAAGGGGCTAATACTCAGATAGTTACGGCACGTATCTAGAACAGACAATGGGAGGGTCCCCTAAATTTCTCTACTATTGGCACAAGGAAAACCTGAATGGCCGAAATCCACTTTTTGTGGAACCTCAGATGCGGAGCTTGAGAAAATGAACGTAACCTTGAGCGATGCCCAACACCTGTCAAACTACCGAGCTCAATGGCTTCGTGTTCTCCAGGCCTTAATTTCCGTAGAGGATTCGTTAAGGAAATACTTGATTCCTATTCAACCCATCATCTACTTTCGAAAATGATGCTGGAAAGACCGCTAATTCCATCGTTTGTTGTAACATGGCTATAACCCAACTAGTTATAATTTGCCGTAAAATGGCTATAATACAACTAGTCATGGATAAATGTTGTTCATCAGATGAATTTTTCACCCCTTTGCCAATGAGGGCGATGATGCCGGAAAGACCAAAAATTCCATCATTTGCCGTTAAATGGCCATAATCGAAGTAGTCATGGATAAATGTTGCTCATCAGATGAATTTTTCACTCATTGGCCACTTTTGGCAATGAAACTGAAAAGACCGCTAATTTCATCAGTTGCCGTAAAATGGTTATATTCCAACTAGTCATGGTGAAATGTTGGTCATCAGATGAATTTTTCACCCATTTGCCAATGTCGGCGATGATGCCGAAAAGACCTCTTATTTCATCATTTGCCGTGAAAGGGCTATATTCACACTACTCATGGATAAATGTTGCTAATCAGATGAACTTT